GTGAACCTAGAAACTTGCAGCCACTTGTGAAAGAGATGTACTCTTGCTCTGGAGTGTGTTACTGAATATGTTTAAGCTGTAGTGAAATGCTTCTTCTAATCATGTAGTTATTAAAAATTAAAAAAAAATGATTAAAAAATAATATATCTTCAAAGCATAAAAATTTGCTCCTAAATAATTAGTAGATGTGAAAAACATTACCATTGAAATCTACCTGACAACTTTATATCCATGCTCAGATGCCTAGAAGCTCAGAAAGTAACCAACTGTGACTAGTAATAATCAGATATATAGAGATTAGAAACTCATGTGCAAACAACTTAATGTCAACTGCATTAAAATGAATTTTTCTGTATGAAACTGTGTATTTTAATTATGAAATGGAGAACTTTTTTAAAGGTTAAAACCTCATTTAATGTTATGTCTTATAGGGTTTATACTGAGTACAATATTGTATAACTGTAATAATTCAACTGTAAACCTAAAACTCTACAATTTTGAAGGAGATGCATCTTAGCTCTGGAAATTGTTATTGAATATGTCAATGCTGTTGTAATGAAATGCTTCTTCTAAGTATGTGGTTATTAAATAAATAATTAAAAAATATTCTATCAGAAAACTAGAGCTGATCAACACAATCAGTAAAATAACAGGATACAAAAAATAGCACACACAAGTCAGTGTGTGTGCTAATAGACCAACAGAAAACATACTGAGAAAGAAACTAGGAAAATGATCCCATTATGTTAGCCTTGGAATAAGTCTAACCAAGGAAGTGAATTGTAGAATACAAACCTTTAAGGCATTGAAGGAAGAAATTGAAGAAGATACTAGAAGATGGAAAGACCTGGTATGCTCATGGATTGGTAGGATTGATATTAAAATAGCCATCCTAACAAACACAATCTAGGAGTTGGTGAGATGGCTCAGTGAGTGAGAGCACTGGCTGGCTGCTCTTGCAGAAGGCACACATGGCGGCTCACAGCCATCTGTAACTCCAGTTCCAGGGGATTTGATATCCTCTTTTGGCTTCTGTGAGCATTACATGACCTGGGTACACTTAAACACATGCAGGCAAAACACTCATAGACATAAAATTAAAATAAATAAATAATGAAAATCACAATATACAGATTCAATACAATCCCCATTAAAACTTCAAGATAGTTCTTCATATAAATTGAAAAAATAATCACAAATTTCATATGGAAACACACACACACACAGACACAAGCTCAGGATAACCAAAGCAATTTTGAACAATAAAAAGGGAGTTTGGAGGGGGCTGGAGAGATGGCTCAGTGGTTAAGAGCACTGACTGCTCTTGCAGAGGACCTGGGTTTGATTCCCAGCACCCACATGGCAGCTATGAACTGTCCTTAACTCCAGTTCCAGGGGAATCCGAAGCCCTCTTCTGACCTCCGTGGCATTGCATAACTTGGGCCTACTCACATACATGCAGGCAATACACTCATACACATAAAATATATATAATAAAATATCTTTAAAAAAGCAGAGTTGGATGTATCATTATCTCTTATTTCAAATTATTCTGCAGAATATTAGTAATGAAAACGATAGAAGGTGTAAAAACGGATACATTGATCAATGAAGTAGCATTGGAGTGTAGATTTAAGTCCATGCACTTTACAGCAGCTACCTGACTTTTAGAAGGCATTAGGGGAAGGCATTAGTATATCTATATACACTGTAGAAAAAAAATCTTCAACAAATGGTTTTGGTCAAACTAGATCGCTACAGGTAGAATAAAACTAAGTGGGCAGCACTACGGTAGATGCATGAGAGACAATGTCTGCTCTGGTCAGTACCCAGTCTCACACCCCCTCCCCCAAACACACACCTGCTAACCACAAGTGTCTCTTCCACATGTAGAGTGCTTACTCATAAGTCATCTAACTTTTGTACCTGCCCTCTTCCTAATACGCACTGAAAGATTCTGACATTTAACAAAGCCAATGTACTCATCAAGAAGTATCACACTTACGTATTTTTACTTAGAGGTGAAGGATCTGTTAACTCTACCTCCTGAGAGGGCACGCCTGTAATGTAATAACTTCCTAAGATCCTGCAGAATTGATGCCTTTCTCTGTGTGTTCATGCATGTTCCTGTACAAGTCTTTTAGTTAAGACTTAATTTGCATATGATCCTTCATTTGCTTTGTTTACTTAACATTGTTATCTTGTACAATCTCAGGCTTCCTTCCTCTCATTACACCTGATAGGCACCTCCTTATCTCTACTAGCTATACACCCAGCCCTGTAGCTAGTGGATATCTTCTCCCAGGATATCTTTGCAAAGTCTTGTCAGTGTGGTCTTACCTGGGCCTACACCGTGCCTCTTTGTTTCAGAAGGACCCTTGCTCTTAGGCCTCAGGGAACTCAAAGATCCTAGAGATGATCTGATACTAAATTTTCTCCTCACAGCACTAAACATCCCTCAACACTCCTTTGTTGACTTAGCCCCCAGCACAGGGCATGGTCCCATAGTTCTGCCCCTATAGCAAATCCTTCACTGTTTCAGTGACACTTTTGATATGTTTGCTCAGGACAACTTTCAGTTGGTCCCTAACAGCTTAGGTTTCCTTTAGGTAATGATTCAGTGGAAGACCTACTAACAGTTCCCCCTATCATTCCTTAAAGATCATTATTTCTGCACACAAAGGAAGTGACCATCACATGGATCTGGGATACATTTGGGAACAGGTTTGTGATCAGTGCAGAGACTCGGAAGTTTCTTTATTAAAGACTGCGAATTCTATTGGATTTTCCATTACATTTTATTTATTTTGTGTGCATGTTTGTGTGGGGGTTGGGGGGAAGGTAGGTGGACACATGTGCTGTGTACTTGTGTGGAGGTCAGAGGACACTTTGCAGGCATCAGCTTTCTCCTTCCACCATGTGGGGCCTGGGGATCAAATTCCGATCTTCTGACTTGGTGACAGATACCTTCAGCCACTGGGCAATCTTACCAGCCCATCTGTAGGGGTTTAAAATCATTATTATTGCTTTCACCTGACACTTCATTAGCAACTAGTCTATTAGATCTCATATTGATAACTAATATATAATATAAGATACTGTCATCATCCAAAAGATTAGTAATTTGGGTTAACATTTATTCATGCTTATATTTAAGAACATTATTAATGCTAAAATTATGGTGTTTTTGGTTAGAATACAGTGTTCTAAATACTTCTTAAGTGATTTCTCCTGTCTGGTGTTTATATGTTGCTTCCTGTAATCAAATTGTCTACATCTGGACATTTTGTCGCATCACAATAATAGACCATGTGTTTTGTCAACATGAAATCACTCCATTCATGTACTTTGTAAATAAAAATAAAATAGAAGTTGTGATGCAAATAATGACAGTTCAGTGAGTCATTCTTTGTGGATTAATTCACCAAAGAATGGATTGATAGAAGAAGATTTAATAAAAGACACTGCAAAATCTGCAGCCAAAAAGTTGAGGAAGAGATCATGGACCTGAAAGGAAAAGAAAGCTCATTTATTAAAATCACACTTAAAAGGAAAATGGGGTCCGGGCATTGTGGCACATGCCTTTAATCCCAGCACCTGGGAAGCAGAGGCAGGAGGCTCTCTGTGAGTTTGAGGCCAGCCTGGTCTACATAGCAAGTTTCAGGCCAGCTAGGACTGCAGAGAGACCCTGTCTCAAAAATACCAAAAAAAAAGGAAAATGGTCAGAGAGATGGCTCAGTGGGTACAGGCACTTGCTGCCAAGACTGATGCCCTGTTCCTTGACCAAAAAATACCCCACAGTAGAATGGCTGCTCATCCATCCCCCTCTGTCTTTGCTGTCTCAATTTTTGTCTTTTCTTTCTTCCTTGTTGTCCCCGAAAGAACCTACTAAAGCTTCCAAAACTGACTTTAATATTTAAAATTGAAATCATATGTGGAACAGAAATATAATGTGTATTCACTTCTAGATACCAGTGGAGGTCTAGGGAGTTCCTGGCCAGCCTTGGCTACATGAGCGCCTACCTCAGGAAAAAAAAAAAGAAAGAAAAAGAAAAAGATAAAGAAAAAACACTCTGAAAATTAACTAATAAAAATGATTTAAACTATTTTTTTTAAGTCGCAATGAAGTCCAAGCATGTGTCTAGCCAGCTACAGAACTGATGTTGGACCCTGCTTCCAACCTAGCTCCCTCGCAGTGACGCCTTAAGACATAAGACATTGTGAACTACACTACCCAGAAATCTATGCGCGGAGCGGCATTTCGTTGATCCATTAAAAATCCAGGGACCGAATACTTCCTTGTAGTTGTAGCCTTTGGGGCGCGAACTTCCTCCATCTTCCAGGCGGTCATTCTGATCCGCCCCTGCCCGTTCCCTTGGTCAACCCCTTTGGTTTTCAGAGCCCAGAGCTTAGTGATTGATGGTCTAGACCCTGGAGGCGGTTCCAAAAGCTCTCTAAGACCCAGCCTATGAGGTCCGCCTCATAGGGGACCTGCCCCTGGTGCCCACCTCTCCTGGCACCGCCCCTCCCGTTAATCAGGTGCCTAGGACCAAGCTGAGGAATTCAACTCAGGTAAATGCCACATCCTTTGATCCTCGCCTGAATCCAAAAAGCCCAGTGATGAGCGGGCTCATGGCCATGCAGTCTCAGGGCCAGTATCTCAGGCCATGAGATGTCCCTCCATCTGTCGACTGTGTGCTGAAGTGTGGGAGAAGTGACAGGCAGAGGGATGCCATGTGCAAAGTCTTAGAGCAGGGAGAACTTAGTGTCTCCACATTATTACTTATGGGAAGCAAATTTGAGATAAACTCATTAGTGTCTAGCTGAAGTGTTGTTCCCTCATTGGTAGAGCCCTGGGAGCCGTGGAGAGACAGTTCTGAAGAAAAGAGAGGCTCTGAGTTAGGATTTGGAAAATCTCTGAAAGGTTGGTAGGTGGAAGAATCAACTTTAGAAGAAGGTTTCGAGGATGCGGAGGCATGGGGAGGTTAACCCCCTTTCTCAAGGCCACACGACTGATAGGAAGTACTAAGAACTGAGGCATGACAGTCAGCCCGAGGTTACATGCCTGAGAGGCCATGCAGGGGTGTGGGGAAGGCCTGTGCAGGTGAAGCCTCTGTGGCCAAGTCCCTTTATGGATTGTCTCTCCCCACAGGTTCCCATGGCTACAGAATCACTCTTGGAACTGTCAGAGGTGAGTGGAGGGTGTTCCGTTCTCTTCTCTGCTCCTGATACCCACCAAACATTCTCTGGGTTTGTGATGTATTGGGAATCCTCACCTGCTAATCTCCCAGACCTTGTGTTTGGGAGCCCAGGAGAATCACCAAAGTAAGGGTCATCTGGTGCTGGAAGTTATATGGAGGGGTTCCCATTTCAGGGCCACAGAAGGAGAGGTATAGAATTTATGACCTATATAGAAATGCTTATAGGTGAGCATGTTCAGAGAGCTGCATCCCTTTTTTTTCTGGTGGCAGCAAACTGTAACAATGTGTAGGCAGAAGCCACTGTTGGAATGTGAGGTTTACCAGCCTCCGAATTTTGACTTCTATTGTGAAAGTAATAGGAATTTTGTATTAGTGGACAGAGTTATCTTAACAGATTCTACCTGGTTGCAGCATGGAAAACTGAATGAATGAACACAGTGATATAATAGGAACAAGGAAGGCCAGCACTGATGGCACCGGCATTCTGAGATCTCCTCAGTGGGAAAGCTTGGGAGGAAGGTGGGCATGGGGATAGATGTGTAAGACATGGTGTGCTGGATAGCTTTAGTGTCAACTTGACACACCTGGGTTAAGGGAGCCTCAATTGGGGAATTGCCTTCATTGGACTGGCCTGTGGCCATGTCTGAGGGGCATCTTCTTGATGAGTGATGTGGGAGGGCCCAGCCCACCGTGGGTGGTGCCACCCCTGGACAGTTGGGCCTGTGTTGCATAAGAAAGCAGGCTGAGCAGGGGCCAGGGGAGCAAGGCAGTAAGCAGCATTCCTCCATGGCCTGTGCTCCAGCTCCTGCCTCCAGGTTCCTGCCCTGAGTTCCTACCTTGGGCTCCCTGATGAACTGTGACCTGGGAGATGTAAGCTGAATAAACCCTTTCCTCCCCAAGTTGGAAGTGGTCAGTGTGTTTCGTCACAGCAATGGAGAAACAAACTAGAACACATGGATTATGGGTCTTCAATGTAAGACATTTCTTGGTTTCAGAAGTCTCTGTCTTGTCAGGGTAGTGTGACCTTTGAAGATGTGGCGGTGTACTTCTCATGGGAAGAATGGGATCTTCTCGATGAGCCTCAGAGAAACCTGTACCTTGATGTGATGCTGGAGAACATGGCACTTACGTACTCAGTGGGTAAGTCCTTATACCTGCCCTTAATGCTCTGGGGGCAAACTCTGCCTCTTTCTTTCTTCTTTGGAGAAGTTCTCGTGTCTGAACCATGGGCATTCGCCTTTCCTTGTTCCCAGGGTAAGTAGTCTGAGTATGTACCACTGATAAGAACTCAGTAATGGATAGTTGTTATGGGAATTAACCCAAGACTGACCTGTCTGGTCAAGAAGACTCAAACCATACTCAGGATACAGAGGAAGTTGTTCATTATTGTATGCAGGCCCAGTCTGTGCTTCTGCCCCAGGAACTGAGGCCTGGACCAGAAATACATACAGGTTTTTAATAAGATTTATCACATCTTCCCTTGGCAGTAATCATATTGGTGGATTTGAGACTTCCTGCACAGTATATGTGCCCAATAGGCTATTAAAGGAAATTTAAACAGCACTTTAAAAGAAAAACAGATGTTTTGGTTGAGTGTGGCATTGTGACATTTTGCAGGAATATGCTGATGCCGATACAATTTTAGCTGTTTTAACAATAAGACACACAGTAACAGGTACTTTCTCAACTGCAGGAAGCTGCATTCTTCCAGGCCTTCACAGGGTGGTTTTTATGGTTGTCTCTCTTGCCTTATCCCATCCTAAGGCCAAGCTCAGAGTGGCCTCTATGATTTGAATAGAAGTAGAAGCTTCCAAAGTCCTACCTGTTACATCAACATATATCAACAGATGTGCTTATTATTAGGAGTACATAGGGTTTTTATTTGTTAGTACTTATTCATTTACCACACAGAATAAAGTTATACTGAAGTCATTGTTCATTAGTTCCACATTAGATTAATTTTTCCCCGTCATACCGAGCATAACAGATTCCACCAGACTTACCTTCTCCCCCATCTTGGAACTTTATAAATTCATGGCACCTAAGGCTTTTTTGTTCTTTTTCTTTGTTTTTCCACTTTTTGTGTGCATATATGATGTGTGCATGTGTGTGTGTGCCTGCGTGTCTGTGTTGTGTATGGGTTCGTGTGTGTGTGTGTGTTTGTGTGTGTGTGGTGTGTACATGGAAACTCAGGTTGCTACCAGAAGCATTCTCTTGAGTCCCCTTTATTCACTGAGGCAGGGTCTCAAACCCAGAGCTTGCTGATATGGCCATTCTTGTTAGTCAGCTGACTCTAGGTTCCCAGCTCTACCTTCTAAGTCTGGATTCAGGTTAGCCACAATTCCCACCCAGCATTTTAGTGGGTTTCTGGGGATCCTAACTCTGGTCCTCAATGCTTATACAGCAAGTACTTTAACCACCCCCCAAGTCTTTCTACATTATACCTGGTATTTATATGTCCCTGCCTATGCCGTGCTGGGGAGTCACTGACATTGTCAGTGTTTAGACTGTTCTTGTAAGAACCTCTTCAAAAATGCTAGTTGATTTTTAATTTGGTAAAATATATGTAAAAATTTACCATTTTAACTATTTTAAGTATACAGCTCAGTGGTCACCTCCTTTTGACTTTTATGAATTTGATCACTCATAACTACTTCAAATAAATAGAACCATAGAGTCTTTACATTTAGATCTCTGATCCATCCTTTTTAATTTTTTGTTTTAAGAATTGTTTGCTCTTGCTGCATTGCTTAGGCTGGTCTCAAATTCATGGGCTCAAATTTTCCTCCTTCCTCAGCTTCCTGTCATCTTCATTGATATTGTTACATATAGATACATGGATTTATAAATACACACACACACACACACACACACACACACACATTATGTACCTTTGTTTAGGGCTGTCCATTTGGGATTAGATAACCTCCCAGGGAGCTAGTCCCTTGAGAAAACTGATTCTCCCTCACTCAACATCCATTGATTGCCTGTAGCTCTTCATCTTGGGGTGGGACCCTGACATTCCCCCATCCGCCTTGGCATGTCGGCCAATTCTCTCATTTTGCTGATTGCCATACTGTCGAGATTTCACTGGTGCAGCTTCCCTGTCCTGACGTTCTTGTTTTGTTTTGTTTTTTTGTTTTTTGAGACAGGCTGTTTCTGTAGCCCTAGCTGACCTGGAACTCACTTTGTAGACCATGCAAGCCTTGATCTCACGGATCTGGATCCACCTGCCTCTTGAGTACCTGGATTAAAGGTGTGCACATCATGCCCACCTCCTGTCTTGTCTTGTCTTGAATGCATCAAAGAGCAACGGGTTTCTTGTCCACCTGGCTCTTACAGTCTTTCCGCCTCCTCTTCTACCTTGTTCCCTGAGGTGTAGTGATTGCATTATAAATGTATCACTTAGGGCTGGGTACCTCCCAGTCACTTATTCTCTGTGTTTGACCAGTCATAGAACTTTTTGATAGTCTCCATCTGTTGCGAAAAGCTTTGTTGATGAGTAGTGAGAAGTACACATTGGTTTAGGGAAATGACAGACGTATGTTCTTCACTAAGGTCCAGGACCTCTCCAAACATGTGTATTTGACTATCTTTACAGTACCATGTGTGATTGCCTGCCTGCTAAAGGGCCTTAAGTCCAATTAGACAGCTTTTGATTACCCCTAGATGAAAGTGCCACTACTGTACCAGGAGAGACTATGTGCTGGGCTGGTCATTGTGGTTCATAGACTTTTCATCTTCGTAAGAGCATTGACTGGTTTTCTCCCTTGGCAGCTTGTGTAGCATCTTTTGATGCTATGAGAGCTAGTCCTAAGGGAGGAGGCTCCCAGGTCAGTTCCAGCTCAATTCCTCCAAGCCTTATGTCCGAAGTATGCCATATCTTTAGCAATAGGGTCTTCCCAAGTTCCAGAAGGCAATCGAGGGCTATGGCAATAGCCTATATTATTTTGGGAGTCTTTAGGGCTACCCTGGGCAACAACTCAGAGGGAAGTTTCCCATGCCCGGCACTGTGATTTTTCTTATACAGCCCTCAGCTATACACATGTGTTCACATTAATATTAATAGTACTATTTGTATTTTTCAGTAGGCTTATTCAATACTGCATTTCCCTTTAGTTTAAGCACTTAAGCACTGTTTACCTCTTTCCCCTCCCTGCACCTGTATAGCTCTCCCTCCTCCCTCCCTAGTTAACGTATCCCCGATTTCCCCTTGATAACTCCTGTTTCTTAGTATCCCCCTCTCCCAAGCTCTGTCTTCTCTTTTACCCTCTTGGTTACTTTCGATCTTCCTGGCTCCTGAGGTTATGTCAAGATATATATTTACATCTAAAGCTTTGAAGTTAGGATCCACAAATGAGAGAGAATATGTGTCACTTGTTTTTCTGAGTCTGGGTTACCTCACTTAGTATAACAATTCCTAGTTCTATCCATTTTCCTGCAAATTTCATGATTTCATTTTTCTTGACCACTGAGTAGAACTCCTTTGTGCAAATGTATCATGGGTTTATTATCCATTCATTGGTAGAGAGACATTTAGGATGTTTCCATTTTTCAGCTGACGTGAAAAAAAAAAAAAACACCAAGAACATGACTGAGCAGGTATCTCTGTAGTAAGATACTGAGTTCTTTGTGCATTTACCAAGGAGTGGTATAGCTGGATCATATAGTAGTTCTATTTTTAGTTTTTTAAAAGTCCTCGAGCAGTGCATGGTGTCACATGCCTTTAATCCCAGCAGAAACACGTAGATCTCTGGGGGGGTAGAGGCCAGTCTGGTCTACATAACAAGTTTCAGGTCAGCTTAGGGCTACAGGGAGACCCATCTCAAAAAATACCAAAAAAATAAAATAATGGCTGTAGAGATGGCTCAGTGGTTAATAGCAATGGCTGCTTTTGCAGAGGACCTGAGTTTGACTCCCAGCACCCACATTGTGCCTATCAGGCATCTATAACTCCAGTTCCAGGGAACCCAGGACCTTCTTCTGATGTCAGGTATTGCATGACATGGGTACATTTACATACATTCAGGCAATACATACACAAAAAATAAAAATAATAAATTTAAAAAACAAAACAAAAAACCCCTTCTCTACACTGACTTCCACAGTGGGTACACCATTGGCAATCCACAGCAGTCAATGAACGTTCTGTTTCCTCATACCCTTACCAACATTTATAGTCATTTATTTTCTCGATCTTATCCATTCTGAGTGGGGTAAGATGAAATCTTAAAGTAGTGCATTTCCCTAATTGCTAAGGATGTTAGACACTTTTAAAGGTATATTAGCCATTTTTCTTTTTCTTTTGAGAACTCTGTTCAAATCAATAGCCCTTTTTTAAAAAAAAAAGTTTTGTCATGTTTTCTTGATTCTTTGTTTTTTCAGTTCTTTGTATGTTTTGGAAATTAGTCCTCTATCAGATGTACAGATGACAAAGATTCTTTCCCACTGCGAGGGCTTCCTCTTACCTTGATTGTTTCCTTTGCTGTGTAGAAGGTTTTTAGTTTATTGAGGTTGCATTTGTCAATGGTACCTTAACTCCTGAGTGAATAAAGTCCAATGGAAAGAGCCCTTTCCTGCACCTATGTCTTCCAATGTACTACTTATATTTCTTCTAATAGTTTTAGTGTTTTGGATTTCACATTAAGGTCTTTGATCCATTTGGAGTTGTTTTATGTTTTCGTTGTATTGTTTTGTTTTTGTATAGGGAAATAGATGTGAGTCTAATTTCATTCTTCTTCATGTAGAGATTGAGCTTTTCCAGCATCCTTTGTTGGAGATGCTGTCTTTCCATTTCTGTGAAAAATGCCATGAGGACTTTGGTTGTGTTAACATAGAATCTGTAAATTGCTTTTGGTAAGATGGACATTTTCACTACATTAATTCTACCTGTCCATGAGCACAAGAGGTCTTCCTGTCTTCCAGTGTCTTCATCAGTCTCTTTCTTCAAAGGTTCAAAGTTATCATTGTAGAGATTTTTGACATCTTTGGTTAGGATTATTTCTAGATTTTTTTTTTTGAGGCTATTGTGAATGAGAATGCTTACCTCTATCTCTGACTGGTTATTATTGGTATATAAAAAGGCTAGTGATTTTTGTAAATTGATTTTGTAACCTTCCACTTTGCTGAAAATGTTGATCATTTCTAGAAGTTTTCTGGTAGAACTTTTGGGATCTCATATATATCATCTGCAAATAGCGATAATTTGACCTCTTCTTTTACAAATAGTGCCCCCTGGATTTCCTTGGGTTTCAACTACTTTTTGGAAAATGAATGGGGTTAGTGGACAGACTTACCTGGTTCCTGATTTTAATGGGAATGCTTTGAGTACTTCTCCATTTAGGATAACGTTGGCTGTGGGCATGCATATATATATAAATTTTGAGGTATGTTCCCTCCAGCCCAATTCCCTCTAGGATTTTTATCACGAATGCATGTTGGATTTTGCCAAAGGCCTTTTCTGCATCTATTGAGATGATCATGATTTTTGTCTGAGTCCATTTATATGATTTATTATATTTATTGACTTACATATAATAAACGAGCCCTACATCTCTGGAACAAAGCCAACTTGATCTTGATGGGTGATGTTTTTGGTATGTATTTGTATGTGGTTTGAAAATATTTTAAAATTTATATTTTATTGAGTTTTTCATTTCATATAATAGGTCTTAATCAAATTAAGGCCCCTTCCCCCATTGGGGCCCCTCATATCCCCCCACCAGATTTCATGCATTCTGTCATATATGTTAGGTCCTATCTGGTTGAGCATTTGTAGCCAAATGTCCCTTGGTGCAAATTCATCCACTGGAGTCTAGTCAGCCTATCTAGAGAGTGACTCTAGATATGTTTGAAAGTTTTTTATCGAGAATTTTTGCATCTATGTTCATTAGGGTATTAGCCTATAGTTTTCTCTTTCTGTTATATCTTTACCTGGTTTGTGTATTTGAGTAATACTGGCTTTGTAGAAAATGTCTGGGTGTTATCCCTCTTTCTATCTTTTTGAATAATTTAAGCAGTATTTGTTGTAGTTCTGCTCTGGTTTTGTTGGTTTTTTTTGGTTGGTTATTTTTGCTTTTTTTTTGTCTTTTTGAGACAGGGTCTCCCTGCAGCCCCAGCTGGCCTGGGACTCACAGAGATCTGCCTGCCTCTGCCTCCCAAGTGCTGGAACTAGAGGTGTGCACCACCACAACCAGCTATGCTCTGTTTATTATTATTTCTTCTCATCTGCTGGATTTGAGTTTTAGTTTGTTCCTGTTTTTCCGGATTGCTGAGTTATTAAGTTATTTATTTGTGATCCTTCTGATTTTTTTTTTTTTTGAGATAGGTTCTGACCTGGAACTCACAGAGATCCACCTGCCTCTGCCTCCCAAGTGCTGGTATTAAAGACATGCGCCACCACGCCCAGCTCACTCCTGATTTTTAATACTTGTAGGCTCTTAGAGCTAAAAACTTCCCTCTTAGGACTGCTTTTAATGTGTTCCAGAGGTTTTGTTGTTTTGTGTTTCATTTTCTTTTTTTATTTTCTTAAAATATTGTTATTTTTATTTTATGGGTATGAATGTGTGGCCTGCATGTATATAAGTGCACCTGTGTTGTGCAGTACCCGTGGAGGTCAGAAGAGGGCATCGGATCCCTCTGGAAATGGAGTTAGCTGCCATGTGGGTCCTGGGAATTGAACCTGGGTCCTCTGCAAGAGCAGCCAGTCCTCTTAACCTTGCACCTCCATGTGTCAACAACAAATACTATCCTGCAAAAGCCATTGGCAAAGGTACGCCTTGTACCCTGGATCACACTTTATTATGCCATGTGCCTAGTATTATCTTCTATGTTCTATGATCTTAGGAACCCAGTAATATACAGCAGCTACTTCCTGAAGCTGATCTCAACTCCTGAAAACTTTCAGGGACTTCTGCTTGGCTATTTAAGAAATACATTTATGGGGTCTGTGCGATCACTGATTGGGTGGAGGCATTTCCCCCAAATCTGATGACCTCAGTTTGATCTCCAGAACTCACATGGTGGAAAGAAAAATTCAACTCCCACAAGTTGTCTTCCATCCTCCAAGTGCCATGGTACACTTGTACCTGTGCATACAGAAACACACACACACACATACACACACACACACAAATGCATGAATAGGTGATGTAAAAGAACAGGTTTTCTCCTTCCTAAGAAAGGCAACGTAAAGATCAGTTACTTCTTTGCTTTCAGGTTGCTCACGAGTAGCAGAGCATGAGGTGGCACCTTCTGAACTGAGCATTTCTGCAGGATTGTCTCAAGTCAAGACTTCCAGAGAAGGTCCATCTTCCCAGGGTGCCTGCCCTTATGATGTCTCGGGAGACATGCTGCACTTGGCTGCCCACCATGGAAAGGAAGTGTACACATGTGGAGAACAACTCTACTTCACTACAAATCTTCCACAGCAACAGAGGCAGTCCGTTAAGGAGGTCCTCTGCAGAAGCTATGCTGAGAGACTCTCACTTGTGAAGAGCTGCAGTGTCCATTTGTCAGGGCAACCCTTTACCTGCAAGGAAGCTGTGAAGGCCTTCCTGGTCAGCATGGGATTTCCACCCCAACCAGGCACTGATGCACGGGAGAAACCAAGTAACAGAAACAAGTGTGTGGCGGCCTCTCACCATGGAAAAAGTTGTCCAAGCAGGGGAAAATGCAAGAAAGCCTGCAGTCCTACACCTGCTCAGGACCATACTGTCCTCTCTAAAGAAGGGCTTTTTGAGTGCAGTAAATGTGGGAAAGCCTGTACAAGACGATGTAATCTCATTCAACACCAAAAAGTCCACAGTGCAGACAGACCTTATGAATGTAATGAATGTGGAAAATTCTTTACATACTATTCCAGCTTCCTTATACATCAGAGAGTTCACACTGGTGAAAAGCCTTATGAATGCAGTGAATGTGGGAAATCCTTTAGTCAAATCTATAGCCTCAATAGCCACAGGAAAGTTCATACTGGAGAAAAGCCTTATGAGTGTGGAGAATGTGGGAAATTTTTTAGCCAACGGTCCAACCTCATTCAGCATCAGAGAGTTCACAGTGGAGAAAGACCTTATGAGTGCAGTGAATGTGGGAAGTCTTTTAGTCAGAATTTTAGCCTCATTTATCACCAGAGAGTGCACACTGGAGAAAGACCTCATTTGTGCAGTGAATGTGGAAAATCATTTAGCCGAAGTTCTAGCCTCATTCACCACCGGAGACTTCACAATGGAGAAAGGCCTTATGAGTGCAGTAAATGTGGGAAATCTTTCAAGCAGAGCTCCAGCTTCAGTTCACATCACAAAGTCCATACAGGAGAAAGGCCATATATTTGTGCAGAATGTGGGAAATCCTTTAGCCATAGCTCCAACCTTAAGAACCACCAAAGAGTTCACACTGGAGAAAAGCCTCTTGAGTGCAGCGAATGTGGGAAATCCTTCAGCTGCAAATCTAACCTCGTTAAACACCTAAGGGTTCACACTGGAGAAAGGCCTTATCAATGCAGTGATTGTGGGAAGTCATTTAGCCAAAGTTCCAGCCTCATCCAGCACAGAAAAATTCATACTAGAAAAAGGCCTTATCAGTGCAATAAATATGGGAAATCCTTTGGTGGCAAAGCTGTCCTCATTCATCATCATAGAGTCCACACTGGATAGAAACCTTAGCTGTGAAGGGAATGTACACTTTATATTGCAGTTACTCTGAAGGAGACCATCTGTGTGAGCGCTATCTATCTGGGTGGAAGCCCCAGTATCCTAAGTTCCAGGGATGAGGAGGCTTTATAGATCTCTATTACACTTTCTAACTTGTATACAGCTCTTGCCATTCATATCCCTGACCCACTTTTGTACCAGAGACCCTGATAAAACTCTTTGGGATAGCTTCCCAAGAAAGACTCTTTTAAAGAACACTCTTATCTTGTGATATTATTTTCCCCCCATCCTCAAATCGCCAGTCCAGGAACATCTGCCTCACGTTGTTTCAGTTTTTGTAAGAATAAAGTATTTATTTATTTTTATGCTTATGAGTATTGCCTGCAGGTGGGTAGGTGCACCCATGTTGCACAATGCCTGTGCAGAGGTCAGAAGAAGGCATCAGATCTGCTGGACCTGGAGTACAAATGGTTGTTAGCCACCATATGGGTACTAGGAATTGAACCCAGGTCCTCTGCAAGAGCAATCAGTACTCTTAACCACTAAGCCATCTCTCCAGCCCAAGTCTTTATTATTTTACCTGCTTGTAATATTGGGATTCTGTTCACTGTATGAGATAGATTAAACAACAGAATTAGGTCCTTCTATCATAGACTGAACAGATTTTGTTTGGGTTGTGGAGGTGGAGGTCACATAATGTGTTTGAAGTACACATTATAGTGGAAGAATACAGTTCTCTTCCCTGTTTGGGCCTAATTTAAATGGTTACCCAAGGCCTCTGCAGAAGGACTGCAAGGATTTATGACACTAAGTTGTGAACTGGATGTGACCATTTTTTTTTATGTGCTCGAGAGACATCTTGAGAATATAGGACATTGTGACAACTTCTGTCTCTGGGAACGACATAAACTGTCTTCTTGTGAGGATTCATGTGTATTAAAGTTCTCAGGATCTACATGGAAGTTTATCTTCTGTAACTGGAGTCATTGTCAGAAAAACAGCTAATATTGTACATTTCATTCCTGTAATATTTCTTGAATGTTCACCTATGGGTCATTGCTTTACAAACCAGAAAAATTAAATAGAGAGAGAAAGGAAATTGCATAGCAGTGTGGTTTTGTGACCTAGTCACCTACCATTCTGTCCAGAAATAAAACTCATTGCTACTGCTTGGTGCTACTAACACAAGTTTCTCTTCCAAGGTTATCAGAAGGAGATGAAGTTAGGATTACTGGAGCTGGGCATGGTGGTGCACATCATTTGTTCCAGCTCGGGGGAGGCAGAGGCAGGAAGACCTCTGTGAAACTGAAGCCAGCCTGGTCTACATAGAGAGTTCCAGACTAGCTGGGACTACAGGGAGATAGTGTCTCAAAAAAAAAGAGAAAACAGGATTACTGAACCTAGTAATAAACTCATCAAATCACAACAATGAGCATATTGACCACTCTTAATTTACTTCATGCTGTGCTCTAATCTCGCCCCAGTTCATCACCCTCATGTAACCACTGATTTGCCTTCAGTTATGTAATACATTCTTTTTATAATTTTACATGATTTGATTCACAAACCTTTTTGTCCTAGTTTGATTTATAATAACGTTTGAGGTTATTCGATGAGTCTTATATAAGGATTTCATTATTTTTGTCTCTGAGTAGTATGTTTCTACAGATGCATTGCTTATCTGTTTGTGGTGGTTTAGGTTATTTCTTGTTTGGAGTAACTGTAAATGAAGCTTCTGCAAGCAGCACACGGTTCCTGTGCTGTGTAGCTTCTTGTGTAGTAATGACTCAATGTGCAATGCCAGAGACACAGGAGAGGTGAGTGTTTACCTTATGAAACTTCCAAACTATGAACCAAAGTGTTGTTTGTTTTTGCTTACCCACCGGGAGTATACGAGAATCTAATTCCACACCCTCCCCAGTGGTTGATACTGTCTTTTAGCGTTTACTGTTTGGTAAGTATGTAGTAGTTTCGGCTGCATTTCTGTAAAGATTTATGATGCTCAACCTTCTTTCATATGTTTGTCACTTGTACTCCTTCTTGGGCAAGATGTCTGTTCCTATCTTTTGCCTGTTCTCTGTATGAGGAATTGTGTCTGTTTGCTTTTCCCTTACAAATAAACAGATGTTTTTTGTTTCGCAGTTTTGTGTTTTCCACTTGTACACCTTCTTGGGTAAAATGTCCGTTTATATATTTTGCCTGTTCTCTGTATGAGGAATTGTGTCTGTTTGCTTTTCCCTTACAAATAAACAGATGTTTTTTGTTTCGCAGTTTTTTTCATGCCATACACGGTGAATAATCATATACATTCACATACTTTTAAGGTTATACTAATATTATTTATCATGTCAGTAAATCCATAAGCAATTCAATAAAATAATCAGTCAAACCTGTCTGAATTGTTTGCCAATTTCCCTGTCATAAATCCTCTAATCACGGTGATACCAGAATGTTGAAATATCACATAAGAAAGAGTTGTTAGAGGCATCCCATTCTGTTTCTATCACTATCCCCAGTAAGTACAAAAAGAAAAAAGCCCACTTGGGTAATAAATTCAATAGGAAGTGACAAATTTTGAATATTTTTTTAATATAGTTTAGTGCAGTGTCTTAAGTTTTGTTTCTGTTGCTGTAATAAAGTGCCCTCACCAGAACAGCTTCAGGGAGAAAAGTGTATTTTACCTCACCGTTCTAGCTTACACTCTATCTGTATTAGTTACTTTTCTGTTGTTGGGATAAAACACCATGACTAAGGCGACTCATGGAAGAGTTTATTGGAGTGTTCCATAATGCTTGGAGAGGCATGGCAGGAGGTAGCCAGGGCAGAAAGCTGGGTGTTCACATCATCAGGCAGGCAGGGGAAGCAGACAGAAACAAACTGGAAATGGGCAAGGGTATACATCTTAAAGCCTGCCCTGAGTCACATGCTTCTTCCAGCATGGCCACACTTCCTAAATGTTCCATGACAGTCCCCAAACTGCTGTGGACCAAGTATTCAAACACTCAGAGTGGTGGGGGGGGTGTCCACAGTCAGACCGCCAAACCATCCCAGGGAAGTCATGGCAAAGGGTGGAAGAGGTAGCTGAGCACATTCCAAAAGAAGGACTTTAACAAGCGCACGCTGGTCCTCAGTTCACGTTCTTCGGTCACGAAGTTCAGGACCCCCTCCTGCGGAACTGGCGTTATCCAGTATCACTCTTTGGAGCTCTCAGACTCAGAAATGGTCTTCTATGGTGCTGAATGCCATTGTGTTGTGTTGCGTAGCCATGTCCTCCAAATTGAAATAGTCCCTTTTAGAGGGAGGAGAGATTCTTCTAAGACTCAGAAAAGAAAGAAAACATCCAAACCCAGGACGCAAGGCCACAAGGCTCAGGAAGCTCCTGAGAGCTGGGAGATTCTCAAGGTTATTCAAGTTGACATTAGCAGTAACAATTGCTGGGGAGCCTGTCTCTAACATGTTGAGCTGCCTGCAGGCAGTGCAGGGAGTTTGCTGGTGTGACTTCAGCAGTCCATGGGCATGACATAGTAGGGCAAGGTGGCCTCATGAGGTGATGGTCTACATATACTCCAGAGCCAAGAATGGCTCCAGCCTAAAACACTTAGATGGATCCTCCTCCAGAGGCAGAGAAGGTATGGCTCATCACCTGTCCCCACAGAAGATACTTCTCAACATGAGTTTCAGGAGGAAAGAAGTCTGACTACAGAGTACAAGCATCAGATCAGCCCTGGGCCTTTTGAGTTTTCTGAGGCCTAGGACCAGGAATCCTCCTGAAATAAAGGAACAAGGTATAGGCCCCCAGTTAGACTCCATGACTCCATACAGTGTACAGAAAAGACCTTGCAAAGACATCACTTGTGAGTAGAAAGAGTTCTGGGTTTGCAAATAGTAGAGATAAGGAGGTGCTTATCAGATGCAATGTGGGGAGGGGAGGCAGTCTGAGGTTGTACAAGATAACATTGTTAAGTAAACGAAGCAAGCTAAGGATCATATGCAAATTATGTCTTACTTTTAACTAAAAGACATACAGGAACATATATGAACACACAGAGAAATGCATACATTCAGCAGGATCCTAGGGAGATGTCATAGGCATACCCCATCAGGAGGTAGATTTAATAGATTATTCTCCTCCTTAATGAGTAATAGTACTTTGAATTTGGTGTTTGAAACTTTCAGTGTGTATTAGAAAGACAAGCGTGCATGTATAAAAGTTATATGCCTTATGACTATACAGGTGAGAGAGACACTTTCCAGGTGGGCAAGTGGGTAACTACAGCAGATATTGTCTCACATCCATCCACTCATCCTCCCTCCTCTGTCTTTGCTGTCTCGATTTTGTCTTTTTCTTTTTTCTTCTGCCTGAGAAAACCTACCGAAACTTTCAAAACAGAATTTAATATTTTAAATTGCATGCATATACAGAATAGTGATATGATGTGTATTTAGTTCTTCCTATTAGTGACGTCTACTCAGGTTGGCTTCATAAGATAGGTGATAATGTCTAAACATTAGTTGTGTGAGTTGTATCTGAGACTTAGGCATACCTGAGACTTGTATATAAGTGCACCTGTGCTGTGCAATGTCCACGGAAATCAGAAGCCGGCTTGAATTCCCCCTAAAACTGGAGTTACTGACGGTAGTTAGCCTCCATATGGGTGCTGGGAATAGAACCCACGTCCCTTGCAAGCCAGGGCTCTTAACCACTGAGCCATCTCTCCAGCTCCTAGAGATTTTTTTTTTAATATTTTAAAAAATTTTATTTATTACTTTTATTTTATGTGTATGTGTGTATTGCTTGTGAAGTTCGTGTACTAACTCAGCCAGCAGCAGACTTCATGTTGGACACTTCTCCCAACACTGCTCCTTCCCGGTGACGCCTTTAGGTGTTGTGAACTACATTACCCAGAGGTCTATGCGCCGAGCGGCAGTTCGTTGATTCAATAAAAATCCAGGGGAGGAACTTTTCCTTGTAAATGCAGCCTTTGGGGCGGGAACTTCCTCCGTCTTCCTGGCGGTCATTTTGGTCCCGTATCTGTTCCCTTGGTTATCCCCTTTGGTGTTAAGTGACGGAAGGACCAGGCACTGGAGGCGGTTCCGAGAGCTCGCTACGCCGCAGCGTACGCAGTAAGCCTGGGGACAGCAGTGTCTGGGTCCTTGTCCTACTCGCGCACTAGCATCAACCCTCCCGCTGAATCAGGTGGCTGGGACCAACCTGAGGATCTCTACGCAGGTAAATGCCGCATTCTCTGGTCCTTACTCGCATCCAGGAAGCCCAGTGATAGGCCGGCTCCAAGCCAGGCAGCCCCAGAACCTGTATCCCCGGCAGTGAGAGATGGTACTGGGCGGAGTTCTGCGTTTGTCGCTTCTGTGCTCAATCGTGGGGAGAGCGTGACAGAGGGATGGCGTGTGCAAAGACGTAGAACAGTGAGAACTTAGTGTCCCAGCGTTTTTAACTTAAGGGAAGCGAATTTGGGATAATCAGTGTACCCTCATTGTTAGAGCCCTGGGAGCCGTGGAGAGACAGTTCTGAAGAAAAGAGAGGCTCCGAGTTAGGATTTGGAAAGTCTCTGAAAGGTTGGTAGGTGGAAGAATCAACTTTAGAAGAAAGTTTCGAGGATGCGGAGGCATGGGGAGGTTAACCCCCTTTCTCAAGGCCACACGACTGATAGGAAGTACTAAGAACTGAGGCATGACAGTCAGCCCGAGGTTACATGCCTGAGAGGCCATGCAGGGGTGTGGGGAAGGCCTGTGCAGGTGAAGCCTCTGTGGCCAAGTCCCTTTATGGATTGTCTCTCCCCACAGGTTCCCATGGCTACAGAATCACTCTTGGAACCGTCAGAGGTGAGTGGAGGGTGTTCCGTTCTCTTCTCTGCTCCTGATACCCACCAAACATTCTCTGGGTTTGTGATGTATTGGGAATCCTCACCTGCTAATCTCCCAGACCTTGTGTTTGGGAGCCCAGGAGAATCACCAAAGTAAGGGTCATCTGCCGGCACCCATAGCACCAGGATCTAATATCTCCTCAGAGTGGGAAAGCTTGGGAGGAAGGTGGACATGGGGATAGATTTGTGAGACATGGATTGTGGGGCTTCAGTGTAAGGCTTTTTTTGTTTTCAACAGCCCCTGTCTTGTCAGGGTAGTGTGACCTTTGAAGATGTGGCAGTGTACTTCTCATGGGAAGAATGGGATCTACTTGATGAGCCTCAGAGAAAGCTATACCTTGATGTGATGCTGGAGAACTTGGCACTTATATATTCCCTGGGTAAGTCCTTATACCTGCCCATGTCTGGTAAGCCCTTACACCTACCGTTAATGCTCTGTGCTAGACTTGGCCTCTTCCCAGTTCTTTGGGTCTGAACTATGGGCACACATGCTTTCCCCAGTTCCTACTGTAGGTAACTCATGTAACTCATGTACATGCCTATTTCCCTCCACTTGTCGCAACATCTCCTGCTTTATGATCTCACTGGTAAAGACTCAGAATCAGTATACTAAGCCTAACAGATTCCACCAGGCTTATCATCTCTCCATCTAGTAACTTTCTAAATTTCTTTTTTCTTCCTTTTTCCCCATTTTTCATGTGCATGTATGGTTTGTGCATATATATAT